GGAAACTCTGAACCTCTGCAGTATGCAGCTCTCCAACACCCAAACAGTCCCTCTGACTCACTGTAAAGTTACTTACGCTCCTGCTCTTCAGTGTTTATTTTCAAGTGGCTGCACTATAAGGCAGTTTATTATTCTATTGTGTGATGCAGTGATTTTTCAAAACCCTGAATACCAGGTAGTCATACTAATTTGTAACAACAGTCTTCAGACTTGATCTCTCAGATGGAGCATGTGATGTTTAGTTTCAGAGCTGATTTTCCAAATTCATAAACAGCAGAGCGCAAATGGTTTCTCTGCCCCTGTTGGCTGTTTGTTCTTGGCAGTACAGTTGATTTCAGAATAACTTGTGTGGTGTCTTATTGTTAATTGGTAAATAAAATGTGTAGATTGAAGTCCTTCTATAACTGGACAGTGTAACCTAAAATACTAAATGCATAAAATCTCAACAATATATATAGAAGTTTAATGTTGTCAAACTGTTTGGAGCTGGGTCCTTGAGATGAATTGTTTGGAACTGGGACATTGAGATATTAAAACAATCTGGAAAATTTGGAGCAGCCTTAGTTCTGGGATCTTGCTGTCCCTTCATGGGTCCCAATCCCCAGTGCATATCCATTGACTTCTCTCTCCATCTCTGCTCCAGCCTGTGCTTCTCACTCTGGCTTTATTACTTGGATGTTGGGATTAAATTTTTGATGATGATTGACATTCCCTGTATGTTATCACCAAAGAGCTTGAGAAATTATCTCTGAAAAAACTTGAAGCTGAACAAAAACCAGACTTAGAAAATGGCCTTTTTAACTCCTAAATAGCTCAAGGCTATAAGATAATACTCTGCAGGAAAAGGCAACGCCAATTCATGATTTAGTTTCTGAATAATGATGGCTGCAAATTGAGCCTTGATTTCCTAAAATCTCAGTATTATGAATTGGATCACTTATACAAAAAATGTTCATGACAATACCTTAAAATTTAAAAAATTACTTCAGAAATATTTATAGAGGTTCTTTTTAATTTATAATAAAATGCAAATACTCTTTTCTGGGGCTATTTTCACGTGGACTGGACTATAAAGCAGAGGGGACATCGTTGGTTGTCTCTTTGGTATCTGTTTAGCCTCAGTGTGTAGTAGTCATGAATTTGGTGTATTACTGATCCCACTCCCAGCTGCAGGAGTTGCCCTTAATTAGTCTAAACCAGTCACTATAAATCATCTTATATAAATTATATTTATGTATATAAATAATCTTATATATAAAATTGGTCTAAACCAGTCACTATATATAATCCCAGGGGTAGCTCTTCATGACCCTAGTTAGCCAGTCAGAGTGAAGACAGAACCGTATCGTGACAGCCGTGAGCAGCTCTTTCCAGTGACTAGATGGTGTGGTGTGCAGCCATCTGGGAGGCATCCAGCTTGAGACTTAGGTCAGCATGTGGAGGGCAGAGCTTGGGAACCATTACCAGAAGACTAATCCAACCATGCCTAAGCCAAGTTTGATTTTGGACTCTGAAGTCAGGTGAACCAATGAACTCTCCGTTCAAGCAACTGTTTTTGTTTGCTTTTGTTGCTACTTGCAACCAAGGCATCATAGCTGAAATACTGAATCCAGTGAAGTTAGGACTAACAAGTTTTCTTTTTCTGGCAATTCTCTTTGTTGTTAGCTAGGCATTTCCCATCACACCAAGATGACTCAGTTGATTAGATCACCAATGTCAAATTAAATATGGATAATAGTATTCACATCTTAGAATGAAAACTGTCAGTTTGTTTTCATGGTGACTTCATTGACTCCTTACTCTTTCATGTCAAAACTTGTCAAGCCTTCAATCTTCTCTGTCAGAGAAACCTCAGAGACTTTGTTATTGTTTCTAATTGAATGGCTCAGTGTGAGTTAGTATCACTGAAGGCTGTGGCAGTAAACAGATTTTAGCTGCTTATTGGGGGCGTACATGCGTGTTTGGTTGCTTCAGTTGTATCTGACTCTTGCGACCCCATGGACTGTAGTCCACCAGGCTCCGCTGTCCATGGGATTCTCCAGGCAAGAACACTGGAGTGGCCTCCTCCAAGGGATCTTCCTGAGACCCAGGGACTGAATCCACATCTCCTATGTCTCTTGCACTGGCAGTCAGGTTCTTTACCATCAGCGCCACCTGGGAAACCCCACTCACTGGGGACAGTCATTCTTTATTTTAAAAGGGCCTAAAAATGAAGGTCAGGTTGAGCCATCTGAAACTGGGATGCCTGCTTTTATTTAAAGGAGTATAAAAGAAGACCAAAAATGCTACTATATTATCAACTGAGAAAGTATTTGGATACTAATGTTAATTGGCTTCCTCATTTTACCAAAGACCACTTCATTGGTAAATTTAATGAAAAACTTTAAGACTTTGTTTTCCTTGACTTCTGGGCCACACGTGAAGTCACTCATAAATTACTCCTTAAAGATTTCTTACTTCTCTGCTCTTCCACTTCCGCTAACCATTTTACATTTTACATTTCCTCTTCCGCTAACCATTTTATGTCTGATGTTTGCCATGTCTTGGGCCCTCTTCTCATTTTTTATTTCCACAAATCATCTCATCTGATCTCATCTAGCACTCGTCAAAACTTAACCTAGTGCTCTTAGAAACATCAGTGTAATACATTTCTGTTGCTTAAAACTCTCATAACTCCCTATTGCTATTAGGATAAAGTCCAAAAGGCCCCCCGCAGCATCTATACTTACCTTACTGACTAAAGTTGTCGCTTGTCACTCCCCATGTACTACTCTACTTTCAGGTCTAACTGAATCTCAGTTCTTAATGGTTCTAGATTCGTGCTCTCTGCCTCAGGCCTTCCACATAGCGTTAATACTCTTTGCTTAGAAAAGTAATCACCTCCCTGGGGTAGCTCCTCTTTGGGAGAGTGTTCCTCCTGAGAGTTCCTCAGTTCGGTTCAGTCACTTAGTCGTGTCTGACTCTTTGCGACCCCATGGACTGCAGCACGCCAGGCTTCCCTGTCTATCAGTAACTCCCGGAGCTTGCTCAAACTCATGTCCATTGAGTTGGTGATGCCATCCAACCATCTCATCCTCTGTCATCTGCTTCTCCTCCCGCCTTCAATCTTTCCCAGCATCATGGTCTTTTTCAGTGAGTCAGCTCTTCACATCAGGTGGCCAGAGTATTGGAGTTTCAGCTTCAACATCAGTCCTTCCAGTGAACACCCAGGACTGGTCTCTTTTAGGATGGACTGGTTGGATCTCCTTGCAGTCCAAGGGATTCTCAAGAGTCTTCTCCAACACCACAGTTCAAAAGCATTAATTCTTCAGAGCTCAGCTTTATAGTCCAACTCTCACATCCATACGTGACCACTGGAAAAACCATAGCCTTGAAGATGGACCTTTGTTGACAAAGTAATGTCTCTGCTTTTCAATATGCTGTCTAGGTTGGTCATACCTTTCCTTCCAAGGAGTAAATGTCTTTTAATTTCAAGGCTGCAATCACCATCTGTAGTGATTTTGGAGCCCAGAAAAATAAAGTCAGCCATTGTTTCCCCATCTATTTGCCATGAAGTGATGGGACTGGATGCCATTATCTTGGTTTTCTGAATCTTGAGCTTTAAGCCAAGTTTTTTGCTCTCCTCTTTCACTTTGATCAAGAGGCTGTTTAGTTCTTCTTCACTTTCTGCCATAAGGGTGGTGTCATCTGCATATCTGAGGTTATTGATACTTCTCCCGGCAATCTTGATTCCAGCTTGTGCTTCATCCAGCCCAGCATTTCTCATGATGTACTCTGCATATAAGTTAAATAAGCAGGGTGACAGTATACAGCCTTGACATACTCCTTTTCCTATTTGGAAGCAGTCTGTTGTTCCATGTCCATTTCTAACTGTTGCTTCTTGACCTGCATACAGATTTCTCAGAAGGCAGGTAGGGTGGTCTGGTATTCCCATCTCTTTTAAGAATTTTCCACAATTTGTTGTGATCCACACAGTCAAAGGCTTTGGCGTAGTTTCCAGCACACTTGAATTCTCCCTTCACAGCAGTATACTTAGGTTCTTGTTAACTTAGCTTTAGACTCCATTTTTCAGAGAACTTACACGGTCTACCTTGTTCAGAGTATCTCCAGAGAGTAAAACTGGGCCTCATTCAGTAAAAGCACTTGGTGGATGTTTTAATGACTTAGATACCTGTGCTACAATCTGTCTCAAATACCTTATTTGACTTTCCAGAAAATAATTTATGGTGTGACTTGGTTAATGTTTTATAGGAACATAAAAATGTTATATTAAATTGTACTTTTACTAACAGATCAAAAGAAGGTTTGCATGCATGCATGCTAAGTCACTTCAGTCAGGTCTGTTTCTTTGTGACCCCATGAAGTGTAGCCCATCAGGATCCTCAGTCCATAGGATTCTCTAGCAAGAATACTGGAGTGGGCTGCCATGCCCTCCTACAGGGGACCTTCCTGACCCAGGAACTGAACCTGTGTCACTTACATCTCCTGCATTGGGAGGCTGGTTCTTTACCACTAGCACCACCTGGGAAGCCCCCAAAATAGCCTACAGCACACCGTATTCCCAGGCAGACTCCCATACATGTACTAACCAGGCCCAACCCTGCTCAGCTTCTGAGATCAGGTACATTGTGGGTGGTATGGCCGTAGACAAAGAAGAAGGCTTAGGCAAACTGAAACTGGCTCTGATAGTACAGCAAGTGAAATGCTGAAATCCTTTGACTAATCTAAACAGGCAAGACTCTTAAAACAGAAAAGTTCTAATATTTCTTTCTCTCATATTTTAGAACATTAAAGGATACTAGAAAAATAATGTAAACCCTCCCACAAAACAACAAAAGAACAATTTCATTTTAAAGAATTTTATTATAGGATGTTAATATTCAGGACACCTTCAGAGCACCTTATTCTTCTAATCAGATTTTTGGTAACTGGTTTTAAAGTGTTACTTGAGTATTTTTCCTCATACTGGCTTTCAGGCAAAAGTACTACTTGGTGCTTGTTTAAGAGATGTTAATTTGATTAAACAGTTTATCCTTAATAACCTGAGACATCAATCCATGGATAGCTTCTATGGTAGTTTTACAGCTAGAAAGAAAAAACATATCATATGATGTCACAAGAACTGAGAACTGTTTCAAACATGCAACTTGCATACCCCCCCCACACCCCCCACAATTACATCCTTGCACTCCTAGTAATGATTCTGGTCCTATTTATACTCCGCAAAACATACTGTATACCATACCAATCTACAGTTTACTCTCTATAGTTTACCATAGTGATTTTTAGCCTTCTGCATGTATTTTGATTGTTTCCTAACTTATTAAATTTTCCCAGAAGAATGACAATGTAAATAGCTGATAAAATTCAAGTTATTTTATTATTTGGGGAAAGTTCTATTTTAGAAGGTTACTGAAGTTATTTATAATTCAAAAATATAGATTGATTCCAATATTACACTAAAATCTGCTTTCTCTTGTTGTTCATTAGTTGAAATTGTTTTTAAAAATTATTTTAATGAACCTTATGCTTTTTCTCCTGAAATAATCAGAGACATCCTTCAAACAACTCAAAGGTAAAGTTAGGTTAGTGGATGAAGGACTTGGATTTTAGAACTGATTTAAAAAACAAAACAAACAAACAAACAAAACACCAAAATTCAGAAAAGATGCAATTCTTGTAAAATTACTCCCCAAAGGAAAATTCTCTACTATTGTACTACTACTCTTCTCCTTCCTACTTTTCCTCCTATACAATTACATTCCCACAGTGACATTTTTGCTTCATAAGAAACTGAGATGTAAATGCAGATAAAACTATAAATCAGACACATATAAAGATAGATGAGCAAAATGACATATTCAGAGCAAGTATCAAAAGTAAGCCCTAACGTCAAAGAAATATGTAATTTTTATCCAGGCTGCTTCCTTTATACCTTTTATTACTCACAGAGAAGAAATAAATGAGGTCATTCTAACCCAAGATAGCTTCTATTCCAACACATTTCAGCCTTCCGTCTCTCTTTTCTTTCCTATCAACTAGTTCAGTTCTCAAAATGGATACCAAGATAGTGATTTATATAGATGTCAACATAGTCCTCCTTTCCTCTCTACCCCTGTCATATTAAAATTCAAATTTTTGTGAAAGTGAATATTAGTCTTCCCAATTCTGTATGCATCTGAAGGATCATGTAATTATTTCACATGTTATCTCAAGTTTGTTCTTAATAAATTCTTTACTGAGATTTGAGATACTAAATTACTGTATAAAGGATTATTTCAGAAAAATAATTTGAGAGATAACAATCATTTCTCTGACATTTAGGGCTTAAAACTTTATAACAATTTGAAATTTGATAAACTTAAGAAATCCTAATTTAATCCTTCACAAAAGGATTAGAATAGATTAGGATATCTTTTTGCAAACTTTTGCTTTGGTTTTTGTTTAAAGACCCAGCAATGGACTGGTCTTCTTTCTTATACTTTATGGCTGAAGCTGGAAAAGGTGAAAGGGAGTTTTTCACAACATCACCTAGACCCATAAGCCTTTAATATTCTTACTTACTGTCTCCTAAATTTTCAAAGTTAAAACCTGCATCTGACAACCTTAAAGATCCAAGTAAGTTAACATTTAGGTACCACTGTAAGTTATAGGTTGAACTGTAAGCAATTTGAATCCTGTTATTTACAAATCTTGAGAAAAGAAAAAGTTAGGGGTAGGAATAGATTTGCTCTCACCTGTCTCGCGTAGCTTTGGCAAGTTTGTCTTCTGACTTTCGGTCATGTGTTTCTAAACCCAACATGAAACTTCCTCGTCCCAGCTGGGCTTCTGACTGTTCTAATTTTTCAGACAAATCAAAGACCTGACCGGTGGTATAGTCTGCATTCTATGGGGAAAATGATATTGTACTAGTCTATCACATAAAGAAATATACATATGTAAATTTTCTTCCATATAGAATACTTCACTTACAAATAATTCTACTATGAAATCTAAGTGGATAGTCAGTGAAGTAAGAAGTCAAATTATACTTGCAAAAACTGATTCCAAAGCTCAAGCAGTTGAAGTGTAGAAATTTTCCCCTTTTATAGTTTAAAGATTAAATTTGGAATTGTCTTTTTCGACTGCTTAAATCTAATAATTTGTTATTATAAGAGGCTTTGAAGTACAGAGATTTGAGTCTAGATTGTGGTCCTCCTGCAGATTAGCTAGGAGGCCTTGGGAGAGGTCCTTTACTTTTCTATGCCTTCCAGTCTTCCTGTGAAAATGGGGGAGGAGGGTGATAATTTATACCTTAAAGCTATTGTGAGTGATGTATACAAAGCTTGTAGGACTGTTGATGACACCTAGCAAAAACTTAACAATTGTTAACTAATTTTGTTACTTTTTCATGTTGAGCTTCCAGAATTAGTACTTATGACAACATTTAAAAAATTATATTTGTTTTAGCTTTTCTAATTACAAAATTGTTATACAGAAAATCTGGAAAATGTAGAGCAGTATATATATATATGTGGGTGTGTGTATATATATATACATATATATATATATATGTAGAAGAAAATACCTACCATCCCCTCCACCTAGCTATAACCACAATTTTTTTTTAGAGTATTGCTATATGCTCACATGAGCTTCCCAGGAGGTGCTACTGGTAAAGAACCCGCCTGCCAATATAGGAGACATAAGAAACGTGGGTTTGATCCCTGGATTGGGAAGATCCCCTGGAGGAGGGCATGGCAACTCACTCCAGTATTCTTGCCTGCAGAATCCCATGGACAGAGGAGCCTGGTGGGCTATGTATAGTCCACAGGGTCACAAAGAGTTGGCACATGCACACCCACATTTGGTAAACTGAAATATTCTATATACTGCTGATATTTCATACATTTTAAAAACCAAAAGTTTAATAATTACATATGTACATTTAAGTGTACTTAAGTGTAATATTTTTTAAAAGTTTCTACTGGAATATCTTTATGTTATCTATTTGCTCAGTCTGTAAGATACTATAAAGGCAGTATAGTTCAGTCACAAGACATTTTAAAAACATTTGCTGTCATCATAGTTACTACAAAGAGCCCTTTAAAATGCTACCAGCTTTCCAGTGATTTTACAAACTTATGATAATTTTTTAAACATGCAACTATATTCACTTTGTCTGGATCTAAATGCTTTAGGTCACCAATACATCCTTCCCCAGCAGATTTGGAAAGAAACCTTAATGTTTGTAGATCACTTCACATCTAGAAGATTTAACTGCAGATTTAAAAATGTGGGATGGCAGAAACAGTTATACTATTAAAATGAAAAAAGAAACCAATTACATTTCAAACAGAAAAAACTAATATAAATCAAAACTAACTTTTTTCTGGTAGCTTTTAGATTACTTGCTTTAGCTGTGAAGGGAAAGAGATGACATACATTTATTTACATATTTTTTTCTTAGAATGCTGTAATGTACTAGGTATTAAACTACACCAAAAAAGGAGGAAATATAATTTAACCTTTTCTGGATTATTAATGTCCTCACTGTATGCAGTGCCAGAATACAGGGGCAGCCACAGGCTGAGTAAGTAGAGCTGGCTGCTTTTGTACAAAGGTTCAGACAGCTCCAGTCTTACTGCTTCCTGCCCATGCCATCATGTGTCAATTCTGGCTGCTATCAGCAGACTTGCCTCTAAGGAAACATGACACATGAGGCATTTAGCAGTGCTAGGTACATAGAAAACATTCAATAAATGTTTGCTATTATGATCACTCTCCTTTCTAATTTACTATTTTTGACTGTTGAGGATAAGAAATAAGAAAAAAAATATAGTAAATTCATAGTAAATATGTTCAAGTGAGGTTTTTACCCATGAGTACAATGAATCAAATGAGCAAAAAATAATTTATTGAGGCTTTATTATATGCCTAGTACTTTGCTAATTACTATATATATATTTCATATAATTCTCAGTGTACTTAACAATGTAGGTATTATTATCATTGGGCCTAAGAAAGGCTCAGACACATTAAATAATGCTGTGAAGGTCACACACAGCTAGTAAAATGGCAGACTTGTTTCTGAACTGAGTTTATCTTATTCCAAATTTTGTGGTTCTAACCACTATGCTATACTGTACTATATGAAGTGGCTTACTTTAAAAAAAGATAAAACTGTTTCTTAACTAAGATGTAGGTAGAAGTTTCTATCCTCTTCTAGGTATTAGATTTTAATGATATATTGGAATATATTGACTTTTTCTTTTTTGGTGGTAGCAGCAATCTACTTGCTATAAGGTAGTGATATTCTGATTTCTTTTGGGGACATTCTTAGTTCAAGTGCTCCAGAGAGTTTCTTCTACTCCAGCCCAGCAGTAAAGCACTTGCCTTGGCCCAACCATTCATGGTGTTCATTCCCTTGGCCCAGAGCAGGTTTAAGGATAGGCATGTGACCTACAAAACTCAGACACACAGTGAGGCTTTGCCTGGGAATATGTTGAGTGGGGTGTGTGTGTGTGTGTGTGTGTGTGTGTGTGTGTGTGTGTTTCTTTTGAATGTGGAATTGGGAGGTCTAAGCTAAGTGGTGTGTGTGTGTGTGTGTGTGTGTGTGTGTGTGTGTTTCTTTTGAATGTGGAATTGGGAGGTCTAAGCTAATACTGCCATCTTGATTTCACATGAAGTCTGAAACTGAAACCAACTGACCTGAAATCAAAGCTAAGAAAGGAAGACCAAGACCTCATAATATTGTCTGAATGCAAACTCAGGCTGTGCCTGAAGTCAGCCCTACTCCTGGTACTCCGAAGTCAGCCCTACTCCTGGTACTCCTGGACTTTGCAGCTTACATGATTCTCTTTATTGTTTTAAACAAGCCAGGTTGGTTGGGTCTCCTGTCACTTGTAACTAGAGTCCTACCTGAAGACACACAACAAAGAACACTACTGGCATTTTTCTCTAAGTCAGAGGTAGTCTCACCCTCATCTCGTCTCAATAGTACACAGTACAGATCCTGGCTTGGCCTGATATTCCAATCCACCTCTGGTCATGCAGAATCTGCTCCCAAGCCTACCATCTTGGCAAAGTCAGTCTTTCCATGAAAAAGAGTTTCAGATATTAAACAAACTGTGTGGATTGATAAAATTCAGGCACATTCCTTGCAAGCATAGTACTTACTGTAAGCAAGCTAGAGGAACTCAGCGTATTCACCCAGTATTTATTCCACAAAAGTTCAAGCAATTTCCGATCCAAAGAGGATTTGAAATATGAGACTTCTAAGGCATAGTATCTATGAAACAAAACCACAAATCTAGTAAGTAAAAAACATTCAACCACATCACATAAAGGTTATGGCCAGATTTAAGTTAATTACATTTTATATCCAAATAGTCATGCTTTAATTTTTAGTCCAACAGAATAACAGGTAAACCTGGTTTCCTTACTCTTCAGGGGGGTAGTTTCAATTCAGTTAAGCAAATATTCTCGTGTAATATTTCTCCCCTCTGTAAAGCCCAGAAATTCTCAAAAGATTATTAGTAACTAATCAAAATTTCTGAATGACATGTATTTACCCATGTCACTGACTTCATAAATTTCAGCCAACAGTAATGAACTGCCTCTCTCCAAGGTTAGCTATAACTTTTGTTAGGCTTTTAAAAATACCAAAAATGACATGTAGATTCTCTATTCCTCCCTTTCTAATCCCCTATATCAGGACCAACTGCTTTTTGGAAAAGCAAAACTTTAAGGTTGGTCATTAAAGCATATAAAAGAATTGCTGCTGCTTCTAAAGGTGCCTAATTTATAATCAGGGATAGAAAGGGAAATTTGGTAAAATGTCTGAAAAACTTATTTTTTTTTTAAGTAATAAATACTTAAATATGTCACTATGTTACAAAGAAACACAAGGAACTTCTCCACCTTAAGGACATGTGGGATGAATCCATGAAAAGTTATAAATATAATGATATATGTTGAATAACAGTAAGTGATGCTATAGTGCATATTTAAAATTAATCATCGGACAATTAAATGTGAGCGATAGTGAGTACCCTCAGTATAGACAGAACAGCCTGAGAAGCCCCAGATAAAAGGCAGGATTTCGGGTAACCCTGACATGAGTCTATAGTGTGGCTATGTTAAAAGCAAGAAGGAAGCATAAGGCAGAGAGCCCTAACTCACAAAAAGGAAAGTCATGAAAGGAACAATAAGTTAATCAGCTTGCCTGGACAGTTTAGTGGGAGCAGGACTTTGTGAGGGAAACCTAGAAAGCTATGTTGGGGTCTGGCTGGCAGAGGACATTACATAAAAGGCTAAGAAATTATCTTCTAGGTACCTGGGACTCATGGAAGGTGTCTGAGCAGATCAATGATATAGCCGTTTATATCAGTGTTTGAGAAAGCCGGCTGTGGTAAGATGTGTCAGAGGAGAAATGGGAGGCGGGGAGACCACAAACGATGCCACTGCAGTGGGGCAGATGTCAGGAGAAAAAGGCCTCCCTCTCAGGTTAGTGGTGTCAAAGATAAAGGAACAGGGACCCAACAGAAATGTGTGTTCTTTCAATTCAGGAGTGAAGAAATTTAAAAAGAGTAAGAATTTAAAGACAATTCTAAGTAAGGGCTTTATAAAGATTAAGATACCCCTGCATATGTGTAGATGAAAAGGACACAGCTATAGTGAAATGTGGAAGTGGGATATGGAAACAGTGTATTTCTTGAGCACTTATTATGTCCTGGCGCTTTATATATATTCTCATTTAATCTTTCCTACAACCACAATAGGACAGATTTATTATTCTCATTCTAGGCCGAAGAAACAACTCTAAAGACTTGTTCAACACCACAGAAAGTGGCAGCAAAAGGATATGATATTATGTCTGTTATCTAAACCTCATGGTCTAACTTATTGTTATATCCAGAGTGTAGACATTTAAGACATTGTTTAAGAAGTGAGGCCCCGGGAGTTGAGACAGTTAGGTATGGGGAGAGGAGGCAGGGGCTCAGGTGGAAAGGTCAGTTTTAGAAATGACAGGTTGTACCTCTGACACTTTAGGGGAAAAAGAGAGGATAAGTAGAGCAAAAGATGTAGATTATAAAGGATGGAAAAGAAGGGAGCTCAAACTGGAGGGTCTAGAATAGACTGTTATGTTTTAAAATTTATGGATCACCTTAATGTTATTACTGTCTTAATTCCGTAGGCTGATGCAATGAAATTTTTTGGTCTAATATTAGCTGCAAATCTCAGTAGCAGAGTTGAAAGCAAGAAGAATATTCAAAATTACTCGTGGAGCTAAATCCTCATCTTCTGTACAGGAAGTCAATAATAGATACTGCCTAGAACTGAAAATCAAGAAGTAGCACTATCAGCATGCTGTTTGATGTTAATGGGGTAAATACTTAAACGAAGTATAACTATAATAGTTTAAGTGATTCCCTCTGGGGGTGGGAAAGGGAATGGTACTTTCATAGAACCAGTTGATCCTTTAAACTATGTGCTTGTATAACATTGATAACATACAAGCTAATTTAAAAAACCCGTTGTGTCCTATTTTTACTAAGGCTCTTCAAAGTTAAATATATTTAATATCTGTATTAGATTCTATGTTGAAAACGAACTTTGGATTATGATCTAGAATTTAAAGTAGGAAAGAAAAAATATCAGTGTAAACTACAAATTATAGCTCATTGTCAAATGATTTAGGAAATGATCTATAATGAGTCTGCTCTTAAGTTGGCACTATGTTTCATTGAAGATTTGAAATAAAAATAAGCAACTTATTTGCCCTATTAAAAAAGTTTACTCTTTATTTAGGAACTGGTCCTAAGTAAGAGAGTATCTTTGAACATCCTGCTTATTCCAGGTTCAAAATTCTAGGCTCTAGCAATGCAGGTAGTTAGAAAGCAGCAACTCCTCTTAGACAGGCTCATGTCTCAGAAAAAAACCAGGAAATGCAGGTTTGTTTGGGTACAGAAAGCACAGTATGCCTCATAGTCTTTTTTTGTTTCAAAAGCTGCTGCTGGTGATGAGAGAAGTAGAGTAGGTATTAAAGGTATAAATTTTTGAAACTGCAACTCAATATAAATGAAAAAAATAGACTTTTAACTCTGAAAGTGAAAGTATTACAGCAAAGGTGTCCTCATGCTTAGGAGCAATTCTCTCAAACAGGAATGGCTTAAATTCTTTTCAATAGAGCACATTAAGTGATTTAATTACAAACCTCTCATTGAAAAATAAAAATCTTTTGTTTTCCAGAACTATGCCAAGGATGACTGAAAATCAGACATATTTAAAAATTAAATTCTAGAAATTCGGGTATTTTCTAGGAATTCTGAACAGAAAAATAAGAGCAGTGGTAGCACACGAGTAGTAAAGTATTCCCAGAAGTTAGGGTAGGCGGTGTAGAGAAGGGACAGCAGTAATCAGTTAGGCAGAACTTTTTTTTTTATTTTTAGGGGGATGCCCACACTTCTATTTACCATGCCCTATTTTAATTGTTAGGATATAGCATGAAGTTCACATTCTAATGAGGTCAATAACAAGGAAGCAAAAACATATCAGATAGTCACAAGTGCTAAGAAGAAGAATGAAGCCGGGAAAGGTAAGAATGACTAGAAAATGCTAACTGAAATAGGGTGACCCTTAAACAGACACTCGCGACTGAAATAGTGAGTCACATGGAAATAAGGAAGAATGTTCCAGGCAGAGGATTAGCAAGTGCAAAGGCCCCAAGGCAGGAACCAGCCTAGTACATCTGATAAACCATAATGAGGCCACTATGGCTAGAATAGACACAGCAAAGGCTTAGTGACAAGTAGAGTCACTGAGATGAGCTCAGAATGATTGCAGGGGCCAGTCTACATAGGGTTGTGTGGTCCATGGTAAGCACTATAGATCTTATTCTTAATGAGACAGGAGATTACTCTGGGAAGGACGAACATGATCAGACTTACATTTTAAGAGAATCTGTTTGGCTGACAAAAGACCTTTAAGGGGTGGGGTGAAGTACAGAAGCAAGAAGACTAGCTAGAAGGCTAGTGCTCTGATTTAAGCTCCAGATGGCTGTGGCCTGGGTCAAGGTGATAGTAAGAGAGGTGATATATTTAGAAGGTGGAGAAAATTGTCTTCACTGGTTTACCAATTTAAAAAATTGAGATGTAATTCACATAGCATGAATTTCACTATTTTAAAGGAGTATACAATTAAGTAGTTTTTTGTATGACTTCTTTAACTCTTGGAGTAAAAATGTGTAGGGAGAAATTTTGCTATGTGGAAATTGGGTACATTGAGGGCTGTAGAAATTGCTAGCGTCAGGCTGGCCCTGCATACAGCTTCCTTCAACTTTTACTTTCATTAACAGGTCAAGTATCTTATACATTGATAAAACGTATATAGATGGGAGAAAGGCAAATAACATGTTAGATTAAAACAACTGTTAATAAAGATTCAAACATTATCCTAAATATATTCTTACTATTATTTTAAAAGGTATTATGAAATCATTTCATCTGAATTTTTTTCTCATCTATAAAATTAGGGGCTTGGTCTGGATGATCTCTGAGGTTTCTTATGATGATTCTGGCATCAGATACATTTTTAAATGACTTACTGTTTGCAGTGTACACCAAAGTCTTCTATTTTATTAAGTGGGATGGTCTGGTACTCAGAAGGTCCTTCATCTGGAGGCTTGTAGCCCTGAACAGAAATGAAGTAAATAGAAGACTTAAACACAACAGAGGAAAAACATATGTTTTCTATGTGACTTTCTGTTTATAGAAACATTCACTTGGGGGAGCCAATTACTGAACATAAATGCCTAATAAAAGAAAAGTATATTGTTTATACTCTTCCTCAACCCTATTTGGTGGCTGAAGGCTAGATTTGGCTTATAGATTAATTTTTCTTGTCCTTAGGTGATATTCACTTGTGCTCATATCTATTTCAGATTGCAGTAGATAGTAGATGGCCGTGACACACAAATCCTTATTAACAAAAGAACACTGCTTTTCTAGTGGAATTAACAACATGCAGCACAAATGTATTACCTTTCTGCTAAAGACAATTTGTGGTAGTTGGGCTTCTATTTTGTAAATACTGTTAAATTGTTTTAGGACAAAATGAGATACTAACTATAACACATCTTTAAAAATAAACCAAATATTTAAAAATCGAAAAACTATAAGAACTTGGAATTTTTCAAATTACCTTTGGGTATGTCCTGAAGGCTCCAAGATTCACTTTCCCTGCAGATATTGTTCTTGTTGGGTCAATCTACAAGAAAGATATATTTAATATCTGCTGACTTATTTGTTTAAACATTAAAAGCCTAGAAATACATATGTACCTATAACACTATAGGCACACACACATAATTAAAAATAACCAATAGGGAAAAAAATAACCAAATTGGAAAAATCATAGAAGTTCAACAGAATATAGAAATCTCATCATTAGAGATTAGATCTAGTTACTATACTATTTAAGAGTATTAATTAAAGATTTGCTCATCTCTTTCTCAGAAGTCTTTTTTTTTTTTTAAACAGATGAACAATTTCTACCTTCTTTAGAGTAACCTGAATTACATCTAAAATACTTTAAGCATAGCAAGAGCTGTTCTGGCAATTCCTGATTTAATCAATTCACTCAACGTCGACCAAATGCCCACTGTGTGCAGGGAACTGAGACACAGGTGCTGTGTACATTCTCATCTAACAGAGGGTGGGAAAAGATGCAGAGAAGTTATATAACTTGTTCAGAGTCCCAGCTACAAAGAAGTGGAATTTAGATTCAAACCTAGGCTGGCACCAGAGCCTTGCTCTTTACCATACTGTTTTTATTTCCCTGTATACCTGCTTTAGTAAATCTTCATGAAAATTAATTACAACTGGTTCTAAAAATACTTACTACCACTGCTACAAATGGTTCCTGGAACTGCTGATTGAGCATCTGAGTACTAACATCAATTCCAGAAAGCCAGCAGCCATAGCCAGGGTGGCTATGATACCAGCCAATTGCATTTTCAAGGCGGCCAACCTAACAAATGAAGAGAGCAAAGGAGCTTGAGGTTCCTGTTTAATCTTAGAGATTTTGTCTATTTATACAGCCCTATAGTTAAATAACAGTATGCAGAATAGTTATACCATATGCTGCTTTAAAAAATTTTTTTTAGATAATACATGCTCAAGGCACAAAATTACTAAGCTACATGTACAATAAGGTCATCCAGTCTCCTTCCCACCTCTTTCCCCTCAACTAGTTTCTCAGCCCAGATGTTACTGTCATAGGCTTACACACCTGTCTTCCAGAGTTATTCTTTGCATATAGAATATATTCTTTGCATATATGTAGATTAATAAAAACACACAATGGCATACCACCAACAGTATTCTACACTTTGCTTTTTCACTCAACAAAATATTCTGGGATTTGTTTCATATAAATAGATAGCTACCTTTTAATTTGTTTTAAAGGCTGGCTGGCAGTTCATTGTGTGGGATATAATTTATTTAATCAGCTTGATATTCAGTTACATTTAGGTTGTTTTCAATTTTTTGGTTTTAAACACACATAATGATTCAATATATGTATATACTGTGAAATGATCACAGTAAGTACAGTTAACATCCGATACCACATGCAGTTACAAATTTTTCTTTTCTTGTGATGAGACCTTTTAAGATCTACTCTCTTGAGAATTTTAAAAAATCCATGCTAATGTTACATATAGTTGAGAATAACTTAAAATATAAACTCTAATGTTGGAGGATAGTTTTAAGTTTAGAAACTCAAAAATAACTATGAGACTCTTAACTTGCAGTTACAAAATTTCAGGGAACAGCATCTTTACCTGTTTAGCATTTTCTATGTATGCAGCCATGTACTCATAAGCGGCGGCCTGAGCGTTCACTCGGGTTTCAGTGCCCTCGACAGGCAAAGCAAAGCTGTCCATGATGATCATGGTCTCACCGTCCACCTTTCCCAGCATCAAGCCCATCACTTCCAGGTTGCCTCCTGATCTGGCATGCATCACCATTTTCAGTAGAGCCAATGCTGAGATTTTGCAGTACTTAAAGTAATGGTGACTACAAAAGAAAGGCATGGTGTAATTAACTTTCCTAAGTACAACTGTAAGACAGTTTTTGTAGAGATTAACAAGTATTGAGGCAATTTACACTGATGGAATGGGGAGAAAGCATATACATAGAATGAGGGAAAGAAAAACAAAGTATAAAAGGACAGAGTTCCTGAAGGGGGATGGAAATGATAAACATAATCCTGCAAATTACTTCCCATTGAGGGAAGGGAAAAGTATGAAATAATTTTAAAATATGCTAGTTGAGTAGACAGAAGGGAATTACACAACCATTTCAATAGACTTTTTCTTCATTAATTTTGGAATCACCAAATCTAGGTTCCTGACCCTGGTTGGTCAGTTTTGCTTCATTATTCTCCGACTTAACCTTCGAGGCCTACCAGTTAAGAATGTGGGCTCTGACATCCATCTACCTAGGTTTGAACCCTTTTACTGCCATATCCTGGCTGTAACCTTGAGATAGCCACTTAATGTCTGTGCCTGTTTTCATAGAGCTGTAGTTTGGAGGAAATGAATAAAATAATATACATAAAGTGCTTGGCTTAGTGCCTGACACATACAAAACTTTTAAAGTGCTAGCTGCATTATTAACCTATCTTTTGTAGTACTCCGAGAGAACAATGTGTTGAGGGTTGTAGCTTCTCTCGCGGTATCAGTCTAAAAGTGGAAAATGTGGCCTTAAACTCCAGTCTCACCGTGATCAGTATTTCAGTTTGTCGTCTGTGTATGTGACTAGACTACTGTTGACTAAAATTACACCTCAGTCTCACTGATGTAGTGGAAGACAGCGAGGATGACTGTAACTGGAGATACAGTCACACAGTGAGGCTGATAATTTAAAATACTCAACAGGCTATATCAATCTAAGTATGCAGCCTGCTATAGAAATAGCAGACAACCAGGCAAAATAACCAGTCTGTTAAGAGTGTCAGTGTCTTTGAGAAGCCTTTTTAAGATGTCTGCCCACAGATTTCAATTACAGCTGAAAAATATAGAGACCTGTCCTTGGGAGTAAAGACATGAATTAACATCTTCACTCCTCTATCTACTGGGAAAAAAAGACAGTCCATTATTGTGCTTCTATTACATACATTCTAGACCCTTTTTTATACATGACCTCATCTAATCTTTATAACATCACCAACAGATAGGTCTTTTTTTCTCCTTTAGAGATTAAAAAAAAGATAAGTAAATTTCAACTAATTAGAGTTGTGAGATTTGATTTTAGGTCTTAACTATTGTTCACTTAAGAATTCATTGCCTTCGTGTAATTATGAAGTAAGTTATTTACTGTATTTGCTTGTTTTTATATATGCAGAAAAGGAATAAAAATACAGTACTGTGTTGTCATAAAGATTTAATGACATATGGAAATTCCTAGCTCAAAACTCAGCCTGTAGTAAGTACTCAGTAAACACTGCTGAATCTGAATACCCAGTTAAAGCTTGCCTTGTAAAAAACTGTGAGACAGATGAAATATGGTTTTTGTTGCTGACCACTGCTTTCCAGTCTATCCATTAGAGAGACTGTGATCTTTTTACTCTTCCCATACAATATCTGCTGTCAGGAAAGGATAAATACCGCGGTAAAGAAACCTTGACCTGTCATCACTCCCAGGGACACACGAGTTTTGATAAGGGGCAAAAACCCTTAAGTTCTATTGATATAATTTACAGCTTCTGTAAAAAAAATGGTGGAGTAAACATTGTGGGAGACTGAGTAGAGCATCTTTGTTGTTTCTGAAATAATTACCAGCAATCAAAAAGCAATTATAGATCTAAAAGATTATAGACTAAAAAGCTGGCTCATAATTATTTTAGAGACCCTTGGATTGACTCAGTATCTGAAGATAGTTGTAGTCCAGTCTGAAATCAGCTGAAGATCCCAACAAAGTGTACAAGGCAGAGTGTGGAGTGTCTGTTAACAATACGGGGGCTGAGAAGTGAAAACCCAAACTACCGCTCGTCGTTTCCCTCTTCCATCCTCCCAAGGCAAACGAGACAGGGGGAATCAAGCAAGCCCAAGTGGAGGGTCTTACGTTTTATTTGCGGGGATAAAAAGGTAAAACAAAATTTCTTAGACGATTCCTCTTTCTCCTTGCTGCAGAGGGAAAGACAAGCTCTCTGACCCCAACTCCCACTGCCCCTGGGTCTCTTAAAATCCCGCCACCCCTCCCTCCCCTGCATTTCGCCAGGGACCTCCTCACTCCTTAGTCCAGGGCTTCGCCGCCAGGATTTCTTGCTGCTGTTTCTTGTCGTATTTGTAGATTTCATCGATACTCTGGGCTTCCTGCATGTTGTTGGCTAGCTCCCACGTTTTCTGGGCCATGCCACTCCCGGAAGCAGCCATCGCCGAGGAATCGGATAAGCTGTCGCCTCCGCAATCGAGACGCAACTTTACCTCGCTAGGTTTTCGGGCGTGGGCTCCCGACCCACCCCACCACAGGTGCAAAATCACACTAGGCTCTCGGGGCAGCCATGACACCCAGCACCGGAGGTGAAGTTGGTACGGACCATCCTCGGGATGGCGGGGGTCCTTGGGGGACGCGGCTATATACACAGCGGTTACACAATAATTAAGAGGCAGAGGAGTCGTCTCATTACTGGAAAGAGAACTTATTATCTTGGAAAATTACATGTGTGAAATAAGACGAAAACAGTAATTACCTAGGGAATGGTATAGCCTTCTGCACCGGAAGAAGGGCATGTAACGTTATGCCAGAAACTGGAATTGACCTTCCTTGTTCGTCCTGCGCAGGCTCGGCCTCCGCCATGTTAAAAATGGGTAGATACTTAAAGCTGCAGTGGGGCAGAGAACTGTTTTTACGTGGGTGTAGGTACTTTTAAGATTGTTGAAAGCCAAAAAAAAAAAAAAAAGATGTTTATGGAAAAGTTGACAAAGAAGTAGTTCTGAATGCCGCTTTTGAGAGAATGGTAAAATGGCCTCCTAGTTTACTTCCCAATGAATCATTGCACATGCGTAAAGCCCTTTGACTTGTAGTGGTTTGGCGCTAAAGTTTCCTAGAGGGGCGTTCTCTAGCGTCCCAAGGTGGCCGGGGTAACTCGCGAATGGCTCTGATCGTGCCTTTTGGCGCGTTTGTAAAAATTAACATCTATACGAGCTATTAGTGTTTTGCAAGTGTCCAGAGCTATTAGTGTTTTGCAAGTGTCCAGTACCCACTTCTTGAAACAGTTTACAGTTTAATCTACATTCCACTGTGGAACCAGTTCTGTCCCCTAAGCCGAATTAATTTAGGGGGAATATGTTGTCATCTAAGAGTTAATACAGTGTTTAATTATTTCATTTATTTCCTTGTTTTAGGTATTCTTCTTTCTTCTCCTATCCCCCATTCCACACTAGATTCTAAGTTCCAAAACACAGGGACTGGGTCTCTATTCCTTGTTTTATCCCTAATACGTACCATAGATGCTCAGTGTTTATATTACTGGGAAAAATAAAGGGGTGGAGGGGGGGAGTTTCACCTCTGCAACTTCAACTTTTAGTTACCTTGAAACTTTGCATAAGTTAAGTGGTCAGCGTTGCCTGGAGTGCTTTCCCCTTACTTTTCTGACTGGGAGCTCATATTAATATTTAAAAACAGAGCTCAAAGATCTCTACCATGCAATCATTCTCAACTTCTTTCTGTCTCCAGTCATCTTCCTTCCACGACGTCTCTAAATGTCTGTAGGTGCTTCTGTAACTGTTACACATTGAAATAATGTATTTGTTTACTTGGAAGTTTTTCTTTTCACTGTAAGCGGGTGCACTCTGCTCTGAGTTGTATCCTCCATTCCTAGAAAGGTGTGTGACATTTAGTTAAGACAAATATATAGGAATTAGGAAATCCACAGCCCCGCCTTTGGTTTTGACATTATCTTTCTCTTTCTTTTTTTTTTGACATTATATTTCAAACCCTCATACAAGGTGACTTCAGGTAAAGGACTCTTATCCCCACTGGCCGGGGAAGCTAGAGATCTCTTTTCTAGTGGTGATATATGGCCACTAAGTATTCGGGTGAACTGAGTATTTTGAAATTAGTAATAAAGCCCATGTTGTAGTAATAAAGACAAAATGTTGACCAGACTCTTGAGGGAGCAGTAGTGCCCGGAGAGTGTGCCAACAGTTTTTCTCTACTAACCCTGCCTTTTCCCCCCTCTGCCCCCTCCAGGCTCCCCCCGCCCACCGCCCCCAGGCTCTGAACAGAGGCCAGCTGGGGCTTGGAAGGTTTGAAGTGGGTAGAATCAGTTTAGTCTGGGAAAGTGGCTCCCGCAGTTGAACAGTCTCAGGCGGAGTCCCAGCCTAGATACGGGTGAGCCCTGCGAACCGCCGGGCGTCCATGCGGCCTCCGGGGCGGCAGGGGGCGCTCCGGGCCGCGAGCCTCTGCCCCGCGGCCTTGATGGGGAGGGGCCACGCCCGGCCGTTGGCGAAGGGCGGGCGGAGGGCTCGGCCCGAGAGGCGGAGCCGGGGAGGCTTGTCACACCGTTCCCGCGCTGGGCGACCGCCGTCACTTCGGACCGCGGCGAAGAGCCTCGGTAGAACGCTGTGCTGTTCCCCGACGCCAGCCCGCTTGCCTGAGTAAGCGTCCGACGGCCGCGGTGGGGAGCGGGCCTGTCGGGGTGTGGCCGGGCTTGGAGGGCGTCCCGGGGCTGGGTTCGCGGCTGAGGGCCTCGTTGGGGGCGGAGGTCTCGCCAGGACCGGGCTGGCTAAGGTCCTGGGGTTACCTGGGTTGGGGTGGGGTTCCCTGCGTACTGGGGTCTCGTGGCCGCCGGGCTGTGGGGATCCCGGACCACTCTGGGGTCTCGCTGCAGTGTGGCTGGGGGCGGTGCTCTGTGCCCGGGTTGCCCTGTGAGTGAGGGTCTCGCCGTCGCCAGACCTGCCCGGGGCGGTGCCTTGGTTACGCGGTCTGGACGCCGAGCCGCAGCTACCACTGCCGCCGCCGCGGGTGCTGTTGAGATCCGGTTGCCTGACAACGCGTTGACGCTTCCCGAGGAGACTGCCACCCACGGCGCCGGCACCCGGAGACCAGCTGCGCCTCGGTTCTCGTGCCTGCCCTCACCATCAGCCGCTCTCCGCTGCTCGCCTGTGCCTGCCGAAGCACCTTTCCTTTAATCGGGGTTAATGGTTAACGTTTATTGAGTGTTGTGTCCCAGCGCTGTTTCTCAGTGCTTTGCTTTGCAAGTAAAATTGGATTCCCACAGCCCTGTGAGGTCGGCGCTATTATTCAGTTTTCCTTGAGCTTGAACCTGTTGTTTCTAATTGCCTTGATTCCTGCGATTGGAATCACGTTTGCAATAACTTAGCACTGGGATTCATTCTTTGAGAGAGTCTGGGTTTCAAGATTATAGGATGAAGTTTAGCTTGGGTTTCTGGGAAGACTAATTTCTATAGTAAGCCACTACCTCGATTCCAAACACCTTTGGAAATGCAGGAGTCAAATAGTAACCTATGGTTTTTCCAGTGGTCATGTATGGATGTGAGAGTTGGAATATAAAGAAAGCTGAGTGCCGAAAAATTGATGCTTTTGAACTATGGTGTTGGAAAAGACTCTTGAGAGTCCCTTGGACTGCAAGGAGATCCAACTAGTCCATCCTAAAGGAGATCAGTCCTGGGTGTTCATTGGAAGGACTGATGCTGAAGCTGGAACTCCAGTACTTTGGCCACCTCATGCGAAGTTGACTCATTGGAAAAAGCCCTGATGCTGGGAGGGATTGAGGGCAGGAGGAGAAGGGGACGACACAGGATGAGATGGTTGGATGGCATCACCAACTTGATGGACATGGGTTTGAGTAAACTCAAGGAGTTGGTGATAGACAGGGAGGCCTGGCGTGCTGCGATTCATGGGGTCGCAAAGAGTCGGACACGATTGAGCGACTGAACTGAACTGAATAGTAACCAATATGAGTTTGTAAAAAGCCAATTATCCTCAGACAGGGTTCAGCTTTATATGAAAGAATGGCTTTTCATGTTCATAAGCAAAAAGGAATCCTATGGTAACCCGTAAAATATTGCTTTCTTTTCTGCATATTTCTTCTTGCTAGGAGTGCACTGACTTTCTGATGGTTAAGTGTATGCTGAAGTGCTCCCCAGGGATGAAATTTTGAGTCACCTTTGCACGTGGCGCTAGTGGTAAAGAATCCCTCCTGCCAGTGCAGGAGACCTAAGAGACAAGGGTTTGATCCCTGTGTTGCGAAGATCCCCTGGAGGAGGGCTTGGCAACCCACTCCAGTATTCATGCCTGGAGAGCCCCATGGACAGAGGAGCCTGGAGGTCTACAGTCCATAGGGTCGCACAGAGTCGGACATGATTGAAGTGACTTAGCACCCAGGCACACAGTACAGATAACCCGATGGAAGGGAGCAGGTGGTTTTAGAAAGGATAAATTGAAAAAAGGTGCTTTCAGTGAATGGATCTGGTTGTGCCTTCCACACACACAGACACACACACACAGAGGCATAATGATGGATTGCTTAGAATGAGTTCCTCTGGATTGCTTTTTCCCTCCAGGTTTTTCTTTAAATTAAACCTTCAGTTTTGGGTCACTTAGTTGGCAGTTGCTTCAAATGATTCTTTTGGTTTTACAGGTTGTCTTCTAGTGATGGCAGATGGGATCAGCATAGCCACAGGTGCTCCGTTGCTAGTACCTATACTATGAAATAACATCTCCTCCCACCCCCCACTGGAGAAGCATTTAAGAGTTCTTTGGACTTCATCTTCAAAAGTAGCCAGAAAATTCAAGTGACAGGTTAACCCAGAAAATCTTTTGCAGTTAGTGAAATAACTAAGAACATTCAGAATACCACACACACAATTCAGGTGATGCTGGTATAGTGATGGGACAGCGGTGACAGTAGAGTGAAAGTAGTTAGCATGCATATTCTCTGTTGGGGAAGACTAAGGGGAAGCAGGTGGTCAGCCTAGATGAGAAATCAGTGTGTCTTGGGTTTAACTTTGAAATAAATTAAAAAATTCAGGGCGGGGGGAAAGTGCTTTGAGTACAGCATTTCTCAAATGAAGTTTTTAAACTTAACCTGATTAACTATTACAGACTTTGAGTGGATTGAAGATTATCCTTTAATGTCTTTCTGACTTAAGTTCTGATTGCTTTCCTGCATGGGAGACAAAAGTGTTTGAATAAATGTTTCGGCAATTTTGCATAACCAAAAGTTTATCTAATTTATGCTACTGTTCTTAGCACTAATGATGTATTATTAACAGTTACTAACAGACTTAGTCATGCCCTTATAAATTTGTGTGCTCTCTCTGTCCTAACCCTGTTTCCTTTCTCCTCCCAGTAATGTGGTATTTACTTCTTAGCAATATTTGGAGAGATTTGTCAAAGTTTAGATACG